CAAAGCTATTTTCTGAAATACAAGTATTTAAGATATAAAGTAGTCCTCAAGTTTTCAGTGTACAAGTAAAACAAATTGAAAGGCATCTTTTTTTAATAAGAGATAAACTTGCATAAGCATGCAAACAAAAACATTTCAGTATTTGTAATAAATTTGTTCTTACAAATCACCCACGCTTCTAATCAGCACTTTCTTCCTGGCCCACTATCAAAATATCATCACTGCTGGCAGAAAAAAGGGTCTGTGAAAAAGCTCAGTTTTATAAGTATGCACAACTGGTCACAAACAGGAGCCCACTAGCAACAGAAGTGCTCAAACCAGCTCCCTTGTTTTACATCCTTACAGAGGGCAAATGGCAGCAGTAATCACACTGTATTAATAGAGGAAATAAAGAAATTCAGTTTCTTAGAATAATTATCATGTGAAGCCTGCACCCCTGAAAACATTTAGTCTTTCAAATGGAAGTGTATCACATTTAACATTAAACTCTATATTACACCAGTTTCAATATCTGCGTGAACTGGCATGAAACACTTAAAAGTTATAATAGCAGTTTTGTATTTGAACATTTTCTGCCAGGACTGATTTTTTTTTTCATTACATATTTAATAAACTTATTTCCAAATATACTCACTCTGTTTATTCTTAAGCTTCCTAAATAGCAGTTCTATGGTGCTAATAATAGAACCTAGCAGTTCTGTTGTGTTCTTCCACAGTCTTCCCCACACTACAAATGCAAGCACAGTGTATTTATTTTGCCAAGGAACCCTCATAGCCAGGTGTCCATGTATATTTTTGCATACTCAAAATCCTACATTTTTTAAGTGGAAAAAGAATTTTAAAATTTAGCTTGTATTTTTAAAAATACAAGCTAGTACTGCAGAATGAAAGACTCAAATTGGGGAAAAAAAAAAAAAGGAAGTTAATATTCTAACAAGTAAACCCAGGGGACTACAAAGAGGCTCAACCATTGCACTTGTTCCATTTACATTTGAAATAAACAGTTCACAACAATACCAGCGGAACATGAACCCTTTATAAACAGGCATAGTAACAGGACCCAAGAGAAAAGCAGTTCCCTAGAAGTTAAAATATTTTCCATGGATGTGAAAGATCTCAGCAAATTATAAATTAAAGGACCAAGAAAGGTAAAGTAACAGAACATTGTCCTGCCTTTACAACTCTTTCATATGAATACTGACCAAGTACAGAACACAAACCCTTTTCTGTACTTTGCAGTCCACTAAAGCTGCTTTTCAGAAAGATGCCCCTTCTAGCCAAAACTGAGCATGAGTCTGGCTTTGTTGAAGTCAAGGATCTCACTGGCTCCAAGAAAACTCTTGGCTGTGCCACGTCTCTGACACTGGGTCACCAGCTCACAGTCTCCACACTTACTTCATTGCATCTGAATTTTAAAGTTCAGACTCAGACCAAGTCTGAGTCTCAGTGTTTTCAACAACAGTTTGAACCAGCAGATCCTCTGTAGAGCAGATTCATGTTTGAAGAGCCATTCCAAAACCAGAGCCACACCTGATTAGGGAGTTAACTACCTTCTAGTAGCACAGACCATCCTCATGAAGCAACAAAATCCAAGGCAGATGATTTTGTTGCAAACAGGCACCCTCTTGAAAAACAAGTGCCATACAGACACTCCAAATGAGGTCAAGAGCAAACAGGTCTGAGTTAAATTAAGCATTAAGCCACTGAGTCACCTCAAAAGCAGATGAAGGATGTATTTTTTTTTAAATAATCTTTTACTAACCTTGCTCAATCTATAAAGATGTGTCAGAAATAATTGTTTTTTGAAGATGGAATTAGCAAAAGTTAGCACCTGCACAAAGAGACAGGCATCACCACCAAAAGGATAACAAGCCTTGAATTTTTTTAATGTTACACAACTTTATGGAAAACTATGTAGCTTGCCAGTTCAGAGAATACATGAAACAGAAATAAAGCATTACACCAAAGCTAAACTCAGCATGCCCTTAGGATTTCAGATTCATCAGAAAGTACAATATAGAAATTCTGTATTCAAAGAAAATTTGTAAGAGAAAAGTGAAAAGGATTTTCTTTTCAACTACATCATCTTACTTTGATTTCTCTTCTCTCATGAATGCGTCATTTTAGCTTTAAGTTAAGACTGTGCCACACAACTAGCTCTTCGAAGATACTTATTACAGACAAATTTCTCTTGCTCCCAACAGGCATAGAGAGGTCTCCTCTGCTGTAATATTCCACTACAAACTGGAATTGAATGGTTTGGGTTGGAAGGGACCTTAAATATCATCTGTATCCATGGGCAGGAAAAACTTCCGCTAGACCTCAAAGCCCCATCCAAACTGCCCTGGAACACCCCAGGGATGGGGTACCCACAGCTTTTCTGGGCAACCTGTGCCAGTGCCTCACCACACTCACAGCAGAGAATTTCTTCCCAATATCTAATCTAAGCCTACACCACCCCAATTTCAAGCCACTACCTCTTGTAATGTCAAATGCTTCTCTTAACTGCTCTGCTGCCCCCAGCCCACCTGCAGCTGGAATCAAGGTTTAATGCATGTGTCAGAATGGAATATGTTCCCTGCTCCAGCTGAGGAACTGATGATTACACCCACTACCTACACAACAACTGTCTATTTGCATATTTTAAGAAATTCTATTCACTATATAACTTCATGAGCAGCAAGGGTAAGAATGGTAAGAAGAGTATGTTAACATAATTGCACATGTAAGCAACATACTCTGTATGCTCCAGCATGCTCAGACTAACCACAAATGCACTCATATTTGCAATATTCTCCTGCAGCTGTGTGGGAGCCACAGGAGGCTGCACACTCAGCTGGGGGTGGCAGCACTTCATGCACTCATAAAACCTTGTGGTGTTCCAACATAAATTAAAGACAAGATCACAACTGTACCAGTGTATAATTTAAAAGGCAAAATTGTTATTATTATTTCCACTGATTAAACAATAACAAAGGTGGACTGTGATCAATGTTAGGATCAAAGTAAAGAAGAGCAAGATTATTCTGAATCCACTGTCCAAATAAAACAACACTGCACCTCTACAATATGAGTTACTGATGTCCTGTGTGATTTCTCATATAGCTACACCAGTAGGAAGACTTACTAATTGCTCTGGAGAGGCTAAAAAGTCCCACTAACTTTGGAGAAGTATCTGCAGTACAGATAAACTAGTTCTTTAAGAATTTAATAGACTTCACTACTTCTAAGGCTGCACACAGCCATTCCTTCAGACTCAAAAATCTGTGTTTCCTACTGAATAAAACCACAATATATACCATCCAATTTATCAGAACAAGACTCTGGTGAAAGTAAGCAGGAGATAACTAGCACACAATGGAATACAAATGGAAAAACAGACATGAGGGAAAAGAAAGATTTGTACATACATTCATGTTTTCATACCACAGAGGTGATTAAGATAATACTTAGAGCCTTCTTTACAAAGAAGTATTTTACTTTTTGTGCCCTTCCACTGTTCGTGGCTTCCAGGACATATACTACATCCATGCCCAAAGAAGAGACATTCAAAAAAATCCCACAAAGTAGCTGTTCTTCTCAGAGGCTTGTTTTGCACTCTTCAGAAAAAAACATTGCAGAAATAGAATATTTCACAAGAAAGGTCTTAACATGCATTCATATACTATAGAAGAGTAATTAACACATTCCAAGCAAGACTGCTATCAAGTGACCCAGCCATAGCACTACATAAATCAGTTAACCATGGTATTTTAGAGTCTCCCAACAAGGCTGAAAAACACTTAAAGCTAAATAATGAAATCTTATTTTAATTCAAGAAATCAAGTTTTTTCCCCCAGACAACAGGGATGGCAAAAAAAAACATTATTCCTTTGCTGAGCCTGGACAGCAAGTTCACAGGGCACAGCGCTACATGTCTTCCTTGTGCAGCCTGTATTTCCTTCCTGGAATTGAAGAAGGAGAGACATGAGCCCCATCAAAACACCTCCATCAAGCTTTCAATAGTCCTGAGAACAATTACAAGGCTGTCAGAGAGGAAACTGCAACTGGTCTGTCTGCACGCAGGGTGTAGTGCTGCACCTGCCTATGGAGGGCTGAGAGAGATGGGACAGCACAGGCACTGCTGGGCACTCCACTGGTTGCACGGGGCATGAGGGGTCAGGGAAAACACAAAAGTTACACACAGCACTGCAAACAGCTCAGCAAGGCAGGAGTATCCCAGTAGGACAAGCAGTACCATGAAATTCCATGCACACCTGACGGCAACAAACTGAGGGCTGAGGTGTTCACAGAATCCCAGAATGGGTCACGAATGGAAGGGACCACAGTGGGTCACCTGGTCCAACCTCCCTGACCAAATAGGGTCATCTCAAAGCACATGGCACAGGATAACATCCAGATGTTCTTGGATACCTCCAGGGAGACTCCTAAGCTTCTCTGGGCAATCTGTTCCAGTGCATGCTCACCTGCACAGTAAAGTTCTCCCTCATGTTCAGGTGGAGCTTCCTGTGCCTCAGTTTCTGCCCACTGCCTCATCTCCTGGTGGTCGGCACCACCGAGCAGAGCCTGGTACATCCTATTGGCACCTCCCCTTTAGCTACTTGAACACATAAATGATGTCCGCTCGCAGTCATCTCTTACCGAAGCTGAGCTTCGAGATTGTTGCACCGGTACCTGTTCCGAGAGCACCCCTATGGAGCACACAGATGCCCTGTGTGCATACACAGCATCTCCATCTTCCGCTGAAGGCACAAGGAGATAAAAACCCTCCAGAGGGCCAGCGCTAGGATCCTCCAGCTCTCGTGGCACCTCAGAGAAGGTGCATTCACCTCTCTGCCCACCCGAGACAGGCCCCTGAGTCCCTCCGGACGCTAGGGCGAGGGGCAGCAAGGACAGAGGGAGAGAGCGGGACAACCCGCCGGTACCCAGGGCTGGGGCAGAGAGCAATGACAGGTCCTGACCAATCATACCATGGGTCCGCGGGGCACGACGGCACCTACCGTGTACTCCCGCACTTGGCTGTGGAAGTTCTGCTCCCGGATCGTCACCTCGTCCGCTTCCATCCTTCATAGTACCGCGGCCCCNGGGCTGCTGGGGGCGGGGCTGGTTTTACCGGCAAGGCCCGAGTCACAGAATGACGGAATTGTTCAGGCAGGAAAGCCCCCCGAGATCATCGACTCCATCCTGTGACCGAACATCACTGCGTCAGCTATACCGTCAGCTATACCGTGGTACTAAGTACCATGTCGTCTTTCCTTAAACACTCCCAGGAACGGTGACTCCCCCACCTCCTTCGGCAGCCATTCCAATGTCTAATCTCTCTTTCAGGGAAGAATTTCCTCCTGATGTCCAACCTGAACTTCCCGTGGCGCACCCTAAGACTATGTCCCCATCCTGTCGGAAACAGGCCAGCTGTTTGTGCCCGTGTGGGGACTGGCAGGGACAGTGTCCTGGGGGATACAGGGGAGAAGGGACCCTGAGCGGCAGGACAGGAGGCTCCTGTGGGGAAAGCAGGGCAGGAGACAGTGGTGGGCATGGGGAGAGCTGCTCCCTGCAGGGAGCTCCCCAGTGAAGGGAGTGGCAGAGCAGTCTGGACCCTGGGGGTCACTTGCAGGGGTCACCCGGAGCCCGTCGGAGCCGGGTGTGGGCAGGGGTTCAGCTCCCCGCTCGGGGACACGACAGCCACCACTGTCACTGAAGCCGGCAGGGAAACATGAGGGAGCCGGGGGTGCTCGGCTCTAGTTGATCCTCCTCAAACTCAACAATGTAAACGCATCCGATTTTCTAGTTTGAAAGAACACTTAAAACTTCAGTCACAACTTTTATTCCTCTTCCCTGGAGCGGGTTTTTGTCATTGAGTGATTTCTGCTTTCTCTGGTTTTTGCCCAAGTGCTGTGATGAGAAGGTACAATCTCCCTATTATTCCCTGTTCCCTCTACATCCATGGGCAATCTTCTCTTTTTCTGACTTTGCAAGTAGATACACAGAAGACTATTAATCTAGGATACACTATAAATTACAGGTTGTGATTTAGCAAATCAAGCTTTTATTTCAATCCAAGCATGTATCATTAGTCTAGAGAAGTTTCAAAAATAAGGATCATCATTTTCTGCTCATTCACAACTATTGATACATCATATATGTTGTCAATGCCAATTATAATTCCAATTATATTAATTCCCCAGCCTCTGGCCCATTTTCTTGGTTAAAAGCAGATGGTAAAGTATTTATGAATTTTTAGAGTTAGAAAAAGTAATCTTGGACTGATGTATTTCTTGTAGTCCTGATGCAGAGGGTCCTGCAGCTTGAGTATGGCCAGAGCTCCACCCTTGTTCTTTTGATCCTTGTGAAGATAAAGACGAGGTATTTGCAGGCACAATCATATCATAGGTGTGACAGGCCAGAAATGTTCCCATGCTTTCTCCTCTTGAAGCCCACTGCTCAAGGAGGGAGACTTCAGGCGTTCACTGAGGCTGTAGGAATAGAATACTATTAAAAGCAGAGTTAAAGGATCAGGGAGCACAGTCTTTGAGCTGCTTCTTGGGAAAAGCTGTCCTACTTTACAGCTGTTTTCTGCACAGCACTTGATTCTGTCTGATATTATTACTTGTCTGGGGTTTTCTTCTTTGCCTATTCCTATTCATCTTCAATCTCCTTTTCTTCTTCAGATGCTGAAAGTGATGAAAGCATCCCTATAGTTTCCAAGATGAATCTGACAAAGAATTGTACTTCTAGTTGAGTCCAGTTCTAATTTCAACTAGAATTAGACTTGTGCTGTTCTCTGCTCAGGTGCTTGTCCAGACTGAACAGTGTAACTGAAGGCAAGGTTATAGGTAGACAAAATATCTTTTATTATAACAAACACAGATGACAAGAACAGAAAATTGTCTGGCATGTGCAAACCTGGCCCCAGGGAAAACAAATTCTCTTAGAAATGCGTATAGAAATATTGGAACAGTAAAGTCAGGATCCCAACTTTCATCATCTTACATAAAAGACCCACACAATAAATGACAATGGTACTGGAGCCAGGCTGTTAGGAACTGAATGTTAGGCCTTCACTGGATTTGTGATGAAGAGAGAAATGTTGTCACCAGAGCAAACGTGCTCTTAAGAACTAGGGAGACCAGATCAAAGAGGAAAAACGGGAACAACCAGAGACTCAGCCAGGAGTCCAAGCCTGAGGTGAGGGTTAGTTCCTGAGCTACCTGGGAAATGACTCACCCACTGTCAAGAAACAGCATTTCAGGCATTTCTAACTTTATCTGCAGACATATTGAATACTGGAAGATTGTAAACAAAAATACCAGTATTTTTGTAGCTTATAGAAAGTAAGATTTAGAAGACCTGAAGCTTCCACTCCCACTTGGGCAATATGTGTTCTTTTTAATCTACTGAATTTGAAGTAAACCTAAGGAGGAGATACAGTACATAATTTGTCTCATACTGTGGACTGTTGAGTTCTTTCTTCCAGTTCTAGCAGATGAATCATCAGAAACAACATACACATTTATATTTGCTGAAAAGGCAAGGGGGATGGAAACAGCTTTGATCCTTTCTTGGGCAGAAGTTACTGCTCAGTTCTGAGGTATTTACATCACAAAGGAAGGTCAGAGTAGCCACCACAGCAAAATCTATTTATACCAAAGGAAATTCAGTCTAAAGGAGGCAACTCTTGCAAACTGATGAGAAGGCTGACAGATGCATGCATTGATCTGATAGGAGTACAAAAGTAATAGTTTGAAGCTTTAGATGTAAAGCTGCCAAAGCAAGTCGTGGTACTTTGCATCAGAGAGTGGTTAAAAGACTTCTAGGTGTTTTTCATCCATATCCCAGACAAAATGAGACTGTGCTGGAGGGACTGCCCTCAGCCATTCTTACGTCCTCCTCAGTAACTCTAAGGGACCTGTTGTAAGCTATATGTGATCTAGGTGTAAATAGAAAACTTTCTCATAGTGGTAATGGACAGATACACACAAGAGCAGTAATAAAAAAACAAACTTCCTTCTAACTTACATCTGGTGGTACCTAACCCCCAGCATAAAAGTTGAGAAAATTTATGAGATTTTGCTTAGTTTATTGCTTTTCAGATTAGTTTTAACACCATTTTTCAGCTTCAGGATGACCCAGTAAGTATCTGGTACTCTGAACACCCAAGGAGAGTTTTATGTGCACAGGATTACCTCTAAGATTTTCCAAACAAAAACGTTGGGATAGTCAAGGCAATAAAAGTAATTTGAATTGTCAAAGTTGGAAGCTTTTAAAGTTGGAACTGTTCTCTAGGAAGGTTCCCTCAGAATTTGCCAATGGATTTCAAAGCACTCTTTAACTGTAAATGCAAGATTGGCACCATGCCTTTAAGTCTAAATTTATCTCACAGCATTTGAATAGGTGATACCTTTTTTCAAATCATCTTTTATTCAAATGAAGCTTGGCTAAACAGAAAATAGGAAGTTATTCTCTCTGTTAATATGACTAGTTACATACTTATATTCAAAATATTACCTAGGAATTAGTCAGATTGAAGCCCAAAGCTTCAAATCACTTTCGTATGATGCCAAGAATGACACCCAGCACTTTATATTCAAAAACAAATTTTGGAAGACAAAAAAAAAAAGATTCAAAAGTTAAAATATCTTGATCATGGTATAAAAGAAACATAATACTATCAAAATTATGTATATTAGATTCATTTATTGGGTGATTTTTTCAGTGTCTTATATTGGGTAGTCTAAAACATAGAAAGAATTGCATTATAACTTCAGAAATCCAGTTCCATCAGTCTTGGATCTGGATTCAGCTTAAAATATTGCTGACTAACATGTCATTTCTATTCATAACTTATACTTTTTACTTCTTTGCTTTTTTTTAAGAACAGAAAAGTTGGTCTTTTTTTTGTTCCAAATACTTCTCGCTTGTATTTTCATTGCATTAACCCAGTAACAATAACTCCCCAGCTAAATGCTGTATAATAGCACAATATATCTATTTTAACTTTTTGAAACAACCAAGGAAAATAAATTTGAATTAAAAATTACAATGTTGGCACAAGAAAAGAGGACGTAAACTAGTTTAGTATAGACTCACATAGGTATGTGCTGGATTTTATATATATATAGTCATAAATATATATATATATATTATAAATATATATAGTCATAAATGTATTGATGAATACATAATCCCCCCAAAAAGAAGAAAAAACCACAAAGTATTACCATTTGGTAATTATTCCATTACTGTTGGAACAAGCTTTTAAAATCAACATTTTAGTAAAAATCTGCACTATTTCTAACTTAAAGCTTGGTCCACTTGTAAAAAATTAAGTGATACTGCTTTCAATAACAAGGAACTGGATTTGGTAATGAATAAACCCCCTTCTAACCCTTAAGTTTCCTTCAGTGACAGGAGCCTAGAGTCAGTACCTGCAGTTTATTACAGTCAGAGGCATAAACTCTGCAGACTGTCAGGTAAAGCATAAGTCACATCATGAAGCTTCACATCATGAAGAGAACAGTTTCTCTTCCATATCTAGGCAGCATGAAGTGACTGAAAGACCATTTTGCCTCCATTCACACTTAATGGGGCTTTCATGTCCCATTGGGAGCATTCAAAGCACTCTTCAAATCAAAACATGGCAAAACTCATACCACATTGCAGCTTAAACTTCATTAGGAATAAAATGAAAGGTAATCTTCAAGGATATGTGGCTGCATAAGTCAAAGTTCACCTGCTAAGTAGATATGAACGAGGTCAGGGTCGTCTGTGCCATGCTGTGTACCCATGGCTGTTTGCATTGATTCTTCAAGTAGGTATTTATTGGTAAAATTCTGGAATGACTGTCTGGGCCAATATTGTTACAGAAGAACCAAAGAACTAAATCAACTAAAAAAAAAAAAGTGTCCCTTTCAACAGTTTACTGTCTTTTTTTAGCCCAGAAATTTAGTGTTAGACTCAACCAGCCTCTGAAAGGGGTTCAGCTAGAGTGGATGGATGAAAAGACTGAAATTTCATTACTTCCCCTTATGGTGTGCTCAATATTTAATTCCTGCTAATCACAATTCTCCTCAAAATCTCCTTTTCA